TATTGCTCCACGCAGGTTGCACAACACATTGCTGCTAGAAGCGCACTGTCTGGGGTCCACGCTGCCTAACATCTTTCTTCTTCCATCCTCCACACCGCAGCGAAGATAATTAGCTCCACCCTCAAGCATTGCAAATCACGATGGCATGGCGTCGCCGCAGAGTGAGATGGAGGGGCGATTGCCCATCGTCGATACGCATGCGTCTGCATGCAGTACGAAGAGGGGGGCGGAGCATGAAGGCGAGGAGAAAAACGATGGGAGGGGGAGGACCTCTCTCCCAAGACAACGGGTTTCTTTCGTGACGCTGGTCCGCCCCTGGGACCTCGGCCCCTTCCCGGGGACTGGCTTCTCGCCCCGAGCTGTTTTTGCGAGCGCTCCTCCAATTGGGGACCGACTCTCAATAAAAGCGCTGCTGCTCCGCTCCCGTCCTCTCCCACCCGGGCGTCTTCCTCCCTCCTCCTCTCTCCTCCTCCTCCTTTCCCCTCCTCCTCCTCCTCCTCCCTCCTCCTCCCTCCCTCCTCCTCCTCCTCCTTCCTCCTCCTCCTCCTCCTCCTCCTCCTCCTCCTCCTCCTCCTCCTCCTCTCCTCCTCCTCCTCTCCTCCTCCTCCTCCTCCTCCTCTCCTCCTCCCTCCTCCTCCTCCTCCTCTCTCCTCCTCCCTCCTCCTCTCCTCCTCCTCCTCCTCCTCCTCCTCCTCCTCCTCCCTCCTCCTACCTCGCCCCCCTGGGCGCTGGCCATCAACCACGCAGCAAGCGGCCCCAGAGCACCCGACCCTTTCCCCGAGGGCAGTTCCTCATCCCAGCTCGGTCGTGGACGGCCCCGCGAGGCCCGAGCGCGGCCCCCCCAAAGGCCGAACCTGGGGGACATCGCCGGGAGCGGAAGTCTGGGCTCGCTCCGCCGGCCGAGCGAATCGCGGCATAGTGCAAACAAGAGGCGCCCCTCCCTCCTCCTCCTCCTCCTCCTCCTCCTCCTCCTCCTCCTCTCCTCCTCCTCCTCCCTCCTCCTCCTCCTCCTCCTCCTCCTCCTCCTCCTCCTCCTCCTCCTCCTCCTCCTCCTCCTCCTCCTCCTCCTCCTCCGCCTCCGCCCCTCCTCCTCATCCTCCTGCCTCCTCTCCTCCTCCTCCTCCTCGCTCCTCCTCCTCCCTCCTCCTCCTCCTCCTCCTCCTCCTCCTCCTCCTCCTCCTCCTCCTCCTCCTCCTCCTCCTCCGCTCTCCTCCTCCCCTCCCCTCCTCCTCCTCCTCCTCCTCCTCCTCCTCCTCCTCCTCCTCATCCCTCCTACTCCTCCTCCTCCTCCTCCGCCTCCTCCGCCTCCTCCTCCTCCTCCCCGACTCCTCCTCCTCCTCCTCCTCCTCCTCCTCCTCCGCCTTCCTCCTCGACCTCCTCCTCCGCCTCCTCCTCCTACTCCTCCTCCTCCTCCTCCTCTCCTCCTCCTCTCTCTCCTCCTCAGCCTCCCTCCCCCTCCTCCTCCTCCGCCTCCTCCCTCCTCCTCCTCCTCCTCCTCCTCTCCGCCTCCTCCTCCTCTCCTCTCCACCCCCTCCTTCCTCCTCCTCCTCCTCCTCCGCCTCCTCCTCCGCCCGCCTCCTCCTACTCCTTCTCCTCCTCCCTCCGCCTCCTCCTCAGCCCTGCGCCTCCTCCTCATCCACAACCTCCTCCTCCTACTCCGCCCCTCCTCCTCCTCCGCCTCCTCCTCGCTTCGCCGCCCTCCTCCTCCTACTCCTCCTCCTCCTCTCTTCTTGCCTCCTCCTCTTCCTCCTCCTCTCTCCTCCTCCTCCTCCTCCTCTTCCTTCTCCTCCTCCTCCTCCTCCCTCCTCCTCCTCCTCCTCCGCTGGTCCTTCCGCCGCGGGCCCAGCGCGGCCCTGGCCAGGGCCCCCCGGCGACCCGCGCCCTGTCGGCGGGGGCTGGCTGGGGCGGGTGGCGGGGGCGAGCCTCCTTCCTCGTCCTAGGAGGAGGAAGAAGGAGAAGGAGAAGGAGGAGTAGGAGGAGGAGGAGGAGGAGGAGAGGAGGAGGAGGAGGAGGAGGAGGAGGAGGAGGAGGAGGAGTAGGAGGAGGAGACCGCCGCAGCAGAGGAGGAGGAGGCTGAAGGCTACAGGCTGGAGGCCAAATGGAGCTTGCGCCCTCGCATCCCGCGAAGGGAGGGCGGTCCCTCCCTGGCGCCTGCCATCGCAGACCGCGCCAAAAGGCACGTCCTGGGTTCCCGCCTGCCCCTACGCGCAGAGGAGGCCGAGGAGTACAGGAAAGAGGTGCAATGTAGTCGCACGTGGACGGGACGAGCCAAGAGCCGACAGATCGATGTGGGTGACCAAGCTGTGCTAGGCCACCTTTGCCGAACATCGGCCGGTGCTCGCCATGATGCCGTCACAGCCCACGCTGGCCAGCTGAGCTGTCATGCACCGCTGCCAACGTAAAATGGCACTGCAACTGTGCACTTCCACCCGACATCTGCTCGGCATCGACAATGCACACAACGTGCAACGGGACTCGATCTCAAATGCTACGTGAATCTTACCCAGTTGCAATACGGAGTAATCAAGCACCGCGTCTGTGAAGTGAGAAGCATCCGATGAGCGGGCCGCGAGAGCAGCACCCAATCTGTCGACAGAGCACATCGCCTCGATCGGCTACCGAGGGAAGCGTGAAGCGGGCCGAGAGAAGGCCACAATGGCCCAAAAACCTGAATCGTCGCTCCTCCCCGGCAAAGAAGACGCCCGAACTCCAAGTGCGCCCGCTGCTCCCCTGCGGCCGGCCCCAAGCCGCCCGAACGACGCCCCCCACGCCTCCTGCCTTTTCACCTGCGCGACCGACGACGACGACTACGACGACGATAATGCCGATCGATCATTCCCGCGCGCAGGCCTAGATATCTGACGATGATATTTTTTCAATGTGCGGCTCCAAGGGCCCCGATCCCTTCCCCGGGGGTGGTAGTTTCCCGTCCCGCAATTTTTGCGTGTCCTGGGGCCCGATACTGGGCGGACGCGGCCGCAAGAAGCCCTCGCAGGAAACCCAGCCTTGAAGATCCGCGCGAGAAAGTGCGACTGGGTGGAGACCCGGGGCGCCCTGAACGCAGCAGCTCCTCCGACGGCCGCGGGAAGGTCACCGCGCAGCGCGACGAGCGAAGAAAGCATATTGTTTCTGGATGCGCGCCCCCACTGAAGAGTCTGACCTACGACAGAAGAACACCCTCCCACAACATGAGACCCTCCGCGGGCCAACACACACACACACTCAGAACATCCAAGGGTACCCCCCACAAGATGCACAAGAGCATTCAACAAACACGAAGAACACTACGGCATCCTTCCCGAACCGACCTCGATCTTGTACCTGGGTCCGACTGTATTGTTTCTTGAGGCGCGCCCCCACTGTAATGGGCCCCAGAAGTCGGAATCGATGCATGCCGCCAATATTGACACTATACACCTTGGCGGCAGAAGACCTCACCGAACGCACTCCAATCACAAATAACACGGTATATCGCCTTACTGTACATCCGGGAAACCATATGGGAGACCACAAACCACCGATTCCGGATCCGGAGAAGCTCACACCAAACCCGGGGTTTTGTTTCTACAGGGCCGTTGCTGACCAGCTGTTCCTGGGCGTTGCTTGCTGGGGAGGGGCGATACATTGGGGGGGGGGGGGGGCGACGTGCACCCTTCGCGCCTGTCGTTGGCCACAGGGGGCCCCTGCAGGGCTGCTTCCTTCCCCCCAATTGATCGCCCCCCCTTCGGCTACACGCAAGAGCGACCCCAGGCAAAAGTGACCTTTGGTGCGCGGCTTTCGGGGGGCGCGGGGAGGCCAAGCCCAAGCTTGCAAGACGCGACAATCGCATCGCGCTCGGCGTTCGGGTGACCCCGGTGGGCCCGCACCAGAAGTCACTCCGGCGAAGGGTCAATCTTATGTGAAGCCGACCCCACTACGCAATGCCCAATGCTCGCGCAGAGTTCACATCGCCAGAGATCTGCGAGAGGAGGAGGAGGAGGAGGAGGAGGAGGAGGAGGAGGAGGAGGAGGAGGAGGAGGAGGAGGAGGAGGAGAGGAGGAGGAGGAGGATGAGGAGGAGGAGGAGAAGGAAAAGCAGGAGGAGAAGGGAGAAGCAGAAGGAGGAGGAGAGGAGGAGGAGGAGGAGGAGGAGGAGGAGGAGGAGAGAGGACAAGAAGGAGGAGTAGAAGAAGGAGGAGGAGGAGTAGGAGGAGGAGGAGGAGAAGGAGGAGGAGGAGGAGGAGGAGGAGGAGGACCTGCCCCTCGGCCGCCCCCGCGAGGCTGGCGGCCTCTGGACGTCCCGAGGCCGCTCGCCCCGAGGCCGGCCGCCCCGAGGCCGACCGCCCCGAGGCTGCCCGCGTCGAACAGCCCGTCCAAGGAGCCGCCTCCCAGGCGCGCGCGGAGACGGTGGCGAGGATGAGGATGGTGCTGGTGATGGTGGTGGCGACGGTGCCGATGATGAGGATGATGCTGGTGATGAGGATGATGGTGCGGGCGATGATGAGGCTGGTGATGATGCTGAGGAGGAGGAGGGGGGTGATGACCGGGATGATTACATGGTCATGACGCCGCCGACGACGGTGATGATGTTGTTGTTGATGATGGTGGGGAGCATGAGGATGTTGATGATAATGATGATGCCGGCGACGACAACGACAATAATGATGATGATGATGATGATGATGATGATGATGATGATGATGATGATGATGATGATGATGATGATGATGATGATGATGATGATCATGATGATCAAGGTGATGTTTATGAGTATGTTTATGGTAATGCTGGTACTGAAGATGATGCTGATGATGATGCGGGTGATGCTGATTCTGATTCTGATTGCGATATGGATGACGATGATGTCGGTAACGATGCTGATTATGATGATGATGATGATCAGGTTGCGTATGATGGTGCTGCTGGTGAGTATGAGGACACTGATCATGAGGATGACGCCGACGACGGCTGTGATACTGCTGCTGTTGCTGATGGTGACGGTGGCCATGATGATGATATTGGCGACGATGGCAATCATGATTATCGTAATAATGGCGTTTCTTATGATGATGATGCTCATGCTGATGATGCTGATGAGGATGCTAATAGTGATGATGAGGATGGTGAATGTGATTGTGATTGTGCTGGCTTTGAGGATGATGATGATCAGGTTGGTGATGATGATGCTGATGATGCTGCTCATGCTGAGGATGATGCTGATGGTCATGATGATATGAGGATGACGCTGCCGCTGACGTCAGTGATGAGGTTATTGATGACGATGTGGAACAGGATGATAAGGGTGACGATGTAGAGGATGATGACGACTTTGTAATCCGTCATAGTAAGGAATCCTTATGCCATCTGCCGCAATACAAATTCTCTTGTATTCTGTCAGAAAGGAAATCCTTTTGTATTCCGCCACTAGGGGGATCCCTTTGTATTCTGCCACATCAGAAATTCGCCAGCCCAACGGGCTAGAGGCGTGCTAAGATCTCCAGTAACAAGTTAACAGTATTTCTAATTCGCGCGCGCGTGGCGGCCCCTGGGGACCCCTGGACGACAAGTACCCTGGCCGATGCCCGGCCGACTCCCCCAAGGCGCTTCAGGAACGCGCCGAGAGGGCGCCGGGCCGCCACGGCCCAACAGGCCCCGAGTCGCCGAAAGATTGTGCCAAGACGCTCAAGATGGTCTCCACATGGCCCCACAGACCGCGAAAAAACCTCAAGAGAGCCTCAAGAAGCTTTCCAAGAGAGCCCCAACAAGTAAAACATCGCCCTATTCCCTTCGGGAGACGTATCTTTTTCGCATGTGCGACGTTTGGGGTTTCAGAGCGTCCAAAACTGGCCCCAGAAGGCTCCAACATCGCCCCGTAATGGGCCCAAGAGAGCCCCAAAAGGCCCCAAGTCGGCCTTGAAACTGCCTCCCAGAATTCCCCGAGAGGCCAACCACGAGAGCCCAACCCACATCCATGATGCCTCTGACCCACCACCCACCGCCTCCGAAAAATGGCAGCCGCCCACCAGCACCGCATTGACAACAACACCCCGACAAACGACAGAGGCGAGGCGATATGGGTCGGCGGAATGAGCGAAACTAGTAAGATACGGGGAACCCATTGTATTCCATCTCAGAAGGAATATGTCTGAAATCCGTCATAAAGGAAATCATATTGCATTCAGCCGCAAGAGGAATCTGTTTGTAATCTGCCACAAAAGGATTTGTCAGTATCTCGCAACAAGGGAATTCCATTATTATTGATGAAGTAATTGAAATACATGTGCCCTCGCAACGCTTTAGCAGTTCTTCAAATGGGAAATATTATTTTAATTGTGACTTCACAACGTTAAACACACTGTTTTTGCTTAAGAGCGTGAAAACATATAGCACGTATTTTTTGCATGCTCAAGTACAGCGAAAACAACACTTTATCATCTTCCAACTATGGACCATCTTTACCAATAGCTCAGACGGCTGGGTGGCCTCAATTTTTTTGTTTACTTCTTAAAAGGTTACAGCAGCTTTCTGGTACAACAGACTGATTTCGCCTGTGCCTGCGCAGCGGTTTCGTATTTACATACACGGGCACAGCGAAGCCAGCACTCTTAATGACGTTCCAACTCGGGTATACAAAAGTAACTAAGAAGCTGTGAAAGCAGACGGTTTATGTGTATGTACGAATAGTAAGTATCACTTTTGCTCGTGCCTGCAAAGCTGTAGAGAACCTTTATATGATTCCTAACTGCCTTACTGGGGAAGTCACTTAAAGTGCTGTGTTCACTCTCCCTGTGCATGAGAAGCACTATTTCTTACGTTAAAAATCTGAAACTCTGTGAAGGCACAGGCGAACTAATAATTCCAGTCAAGAAAAATTGTGGCGGAATACGAAAGGATTCATTATGTAGCGGAGTTTAATGATATTGCCTTTGTGTTGGAATGCAGAAAGACCCCCTTTCTGGCGGAATACAAACGGATTCCTTGTGTGGCGGAATACCAAAGAATTCCTTCTGTAGCGGAGTATAGTCGGATTGATTGCTTTTGTCGCGGATTGCGCCAAAATTAATCCCTTTGTAGTAGAATACGAAGAATTTCCTTCTCTGGCGGAGTACAAGAGGAGTCCCTTGTCTGGCAGAGTGCACAAGGATTCTTTTGTGGCGGGGTATGAAAAAATGCTTTTGCGGCGGGCTACGAAAGGGTTCTTCTGTGGCAAACCAGGCTTCCATGTGTGGCGGAATGCACGAGGATCTTCCTCTTCCCACGAAATGCACCGGGAAGGCCCCAAATCAACCGAAAGGTAGTTTTGAGCCCTCTATGAAAACAAATCAAATACTTGCCGACACATATAAACAGGTTGCAAGTCTGCAGTTGCAGGCTGTCACGGGGAATCCGATCATCAAATTTGACACATCAATGTTAACCGAACTTGCTGATTTGCCCGTGTGCGCATTCCCGCGTGGAAGCGTTTATCACAGAAACAAATGGGTGTTGATTGCATGTTTGATTGGGGCGGGAATGTCGAAGATAATGCGAAAACAGGTGTCAAACACTTTTCACGCGAATTCCATGGACATAGTGAATGGGATGACCAATGGGACGGCAGTTGCAATGGCCATGTGCAAGGACTGATAGCAAAGGGACTGGAGGCAGGCATTCACTAAACACTTACAATATCCATGCGGCCCGTCGGGCTCGTGGCAAGTGGCTCGCACCATGCGATTGGCGTTTGCGCCGGCCGGCGATCATTAGCATGTAATCAAACACATTTTTTTCGACGGGCAGCAATATATTGTCAAAGTGCAGGATGAGTTGGCGCGCAGCTCGGTATACTGCAATTTCTGGTGGCCTCACAACCCCACCAGCACGAATCATACACCCCAGAACTTGTTCGACGAGCTTGGCGGCCAAGGGATAATGAAGACAAACCAACCGATTTCAACAACATGTCAGCTGGGTGTAGACTGATGCGACAGATGATGCCGTCCTCGAACAGTGAAAGGCAATTTGAGGAGCGGGTGGGCGCGTGGACTCAGGAACCACAAATCCCAATATTCGACTGGCCAGAAGCAGCGTGGAAATCGTTTTTTTGAATGCTGCGCGAGGGTGCGTCAACTGCCAGGGCGATGGATTCCAAATTTACCACCAGCAAAAATTTGAAGCCGTGGTTCTTGGACTTGGTACTGAAAAACAAGATTGCGACGCAGAAGGAGCAAGGGGCCCTATTGTTCGGAGTTTCTCCACGCGGTGAAAGCTTGTGTTCGGGGGTCCAATTGTTGTCCAGCTGCCTTCTCTGCCGCCTGCTCACACTAGCGCCAACAGCCACATGGCTCAATTTGATGGTTTGTGGCTTGAGCCAGATGCCCATAAGCGCGTGGTTATTGGATTGGGCATTGAACTATCAAAGTGTTGGGTGCGAGCGCGCAGCGAGAGAGATCACGATGCGAGGCTCGGAGGAGGCGAAGTCCCCGAAACTCGGACATTTGCGTGCTGAGGGGATATAACTTTGGATGTTCTTCGTCTTCGTAGTTTTGGTTGGTTGTCTCTCCTCTTCCTCGCCTGACTTTCCTGCTCTTCCTGCAAACGCCGCAGTGCTACCTACCGCTGGACCCATGGGCACCGCGAGAGCGGCGGAGAGGGCCCCCGAACTCTGTGCGGAACGCCGGCGCAAGGATGCGTAGACGCATTATTTTTTCTTCTTCTCTTTCCCCTCCTTCTCCTCGCCTCCCTCCCTGCCTCGAATCCTTCTCCTTCTCCTCCTCTTGAGGGCGTTTCCCCTCGCCCCTCCCCCAGAGAGGCTGGCGGCAGCCCGCGCAGCTCGAGGGGCGGCCAGGGCACCTGCGGTCAGTGGGGCGCCCGGCCGCGGAGGTCGTCCTGATGGGGAGGAAGGGGGCGGGGAGGAGGAGACGGGGGAGGAGGAGGAGGAGGAGGAGGAGGAGGAGGCGGAGACATCCTTCCCGCGCGCCCACTCGCAGTGCCACCCATTGTGGCGCCGGTGCTTCGTCCAGAGTTTGCGCATCGCCGTCCTCTTCCAGTGGGGCGTCTTCTCCTTTCAGGAATTTTTGTCTTTCTACGTTGCCACGGCGCCAGGCCAGCATCTTGGACCTCGTAGCGGCTTATGTAACCTCTTGGCGTGTCAGGATGGTATATGCGCCATCCCGAAACCCGAGATGGTCCTGACCAGGCACGGGGGACATATATTATTTCCCGACCATCCTGTGGTGTTGGGTCCTCGTTTTGAAGAGACAGCGCCCCGCGTCCCACCTCCTTCTCCTCCTCCTCCTCCCCCTCCTCCCTCCTGCCGTCCGCATGCGTCCCGCACACCCATTTCGGCACACCCCTCACACGTTTCGTGGCCCCATAGGGAGCTCCACCGAAGGCCCCATGGCTGCCGTCCGCATGCGTCCCGCACACCCATTTCGGCACACCCCTCCACCACGTTTCGTCGGCACACCCCTCACACGTTTCGTGGCCCCACAGGGAGCTCCACCGAAGGCCCCAGTGCTGCCGTCCGCATGCGTCCCGCACACCCATTTCGGCACACCCCTCACACGTTTCGTGGCCCCATAGGGAGCTCCACCGAAGGCCCCATGGCTGCCGTCCGCATGCGTCCCGCACACCCATTTCGGCACACCCCTCACACGTTTCGTGGCCCCATAGGGAGCTCCACCGAAGGCCCCATGGCTGCCGTCCGCATGCGTCCCGCACACCCATTTCGGCACACCCCTCACACGTTTCGTGGCCCCACGCTCCACCGAAGGCCCCAGCTGCCGTCCGCATGCGTCCCGCACACCCATTTCGGCACACCCCTCACACGTTTCGTGGCCCCCTCCACCCCCATGGCTGCCGTCCGCATGCGTCCCGCACACCCATTTCGGCACACCCCTCACACGTTTCGTGGCCCCAGGGAGCTCCACCGAAGGCCCCAGTGCTGCCGTCCGCATGCGTCCCGCACACCCATTTCGGCACACCCCTCACACGTTTCGTGGCCCCATAGGGAGCTCCACCGAAGGCCCCATGGCTGCCGTCCGCATGCGTCCCGCACACCCATTTCGGCACACCCCTCACACGTTTCGTGGCCCCACAGGGAGCTCCACCGAAGGCCCCAGTGCTGCCGTCCGCATGCGTCCCGCACACCCATTTCGGCACACCCCTCACACGTTTCGTGGCCCCATAGGGAGCTCCACCGAAGGCCCCATGGCTGCCGTCCGCATGCGTCCCGCACACCCATTTCGGCACACCCCTCACACGTTTCGTGGCCCCACAGGGAGCTCCACCGAAGGCCCCAGTGCTGCCGTCCGCATGCGTCCCGCACACCCATTTCGGCACACCCCTCACACGTTTCGTGGCCCCATAGGGAGCTCCACCGAAGGCCCCATGGCTGCCGTCCGCATGCGTCCCGCACACCCATTTCGGCACACCCCTCACACGTTTCGTGGCCCCACAGGGAGCTCCACCGAAGGCCCCAGTGCTGCCGTCCGCATGCGTCCCGCACACCCATTTCGGCACACCCCTCACACGTTTCGTGGCCCCATAGGGAGCTCCACCGAAGGCCCCATGGCTGCCGTCCGCATGCGTCCCGCACACCCATTTCGGCACACCCCTCACACGTTTCGTGGCCCCACAGGGAGCTCCACCGAAGGCCCCAGTGCTGCCGTCCGCATGCGTCCCGCACACCAGGTGTGTGGCGTGCCGACATGGGCGTCGCGGCGCGCGGGCGCTGCCGTCGGGGTTCCCAGGGAAGCCCCCTGCAGAGGCGACGCTCAGAGTCACGAGTACCGAGAGTCACGCAGACCCAAACTGTTCACAGTCGTATACATACATTTACACTGGGCGTATCCATGCACGCATTCATGCGAATAGAATCAATCGCGCGCAGATTCATTCATAATCAGACTCGCTCGCGATCCGACTCGCACGCGCTCAAGCTTTCATATTCGGACCTATCGGCTTCGTTCGTGTTGTGTACACTGCCACGCATTTCGGCACACCCCTCATACGGCTCGTGGTCCCATAGGGAGCGCCACCGAAGAAGATATTCACAATTGCGGTACTCTCAACTGCATATGGTTGGGTCCTTCGCCAGGCTAATTTTTTGTGCTCGTTCCTGCTCGCGCTGCTGGTCCTGCTCGTGCTCGTGCTGCTCTTGCTGGTGTTCGTGCTGCTCCTGCTGTCGCCCGTCGCTCTCCCTCTGATCTTGCAATTTCAACAATAGCTCCGCAACAGAATCCAGCTCTGCCTTGTGCACAGAAGCGATTTACATATCGCCACCGTGCCTGGTCACGCGCCTCCCGGGCCTCAGGATGATGTATAAACTTTCCTGGCTGGCCAGGAAAATGCATGCGCCGCCCCGACGTTCAACAGTTGTCTTGCCACACGTGGTGGTGATGTATGAATCCCTCAACCGGACCTGCGCCCTAGCCTCCTGGAGGCTCGCCCCCGTCTTTAGGATCTAGGGGGAGGATGGGAAGGAGAGGAATAAGAGGAGGAAGCAAGAAGGGAGAGGACCTGGAAATTCGCGCCAACCAGCCAGCCTGCCTTCCAAGGCGCCGGCGCCGTGTCCGGAGGCCGAGGGCTGGCCATGGCGATGGCGCTTGCGCCATAACTATTGCGGATGGAGGATCGCCGTCGCCGCCGCCGTCGTCGTCGTCGCCGCCGTCGTCGCCGCAGTCGTATTCGTCGTCGCCGTCGTCGTCGCCGTCGTTCTTCTCGTCGTCGCCGTCATTCCCGTCCTCTTCGACCGCCACGTCCTGGGAGACTAAGCCCTGGCACGCCAGGCAATGGCAAGCAGGGTGGGGCCTGGATCTTTTTGAAAACATTACATGTGAGTGACCTTCATGCGATGCTCATGCGGATGACCATCATCCGATGTTTTTGCGCAGTGCCTTCTCGGCTGAAGAGCCCCTGGACGGCAACATCTACCTGCGCATGGTCGTCGTCGCGCCGCTCGCCCGTCCCGCTCTCCTCCTCCCTCTTCCCTCCTCCCCCCTCCGCCCTCCTCTTCCCTCCTTCCTCCTCGCCCCTTTTTCCTCCTCCTTCCCCCCTCCTCCTCCGTCGTCGCCGCCTCCTCCTTCCTCCATCCTCCTCCCTCGTTCCTCTCTCCGCCTCCCTCGCCCCGCCTCCTCCTCCCTCCTCTCTCCCCCGCCATTCTCCATGCATGTGTAGGGGATGCCCCGAAACAACCCCCAGGTTGTTTTGGGGCCTTCGGTCTTTGTTCTCCCTCCTCCTTCCTCTCGCCTCCTCCGCCTCTCGCCCCCTCCTCTCCCTCCTCCCTCCTCTCGCCGCCTCCGCCTCTCTCCTTCCTCCCCTCTTCCCTCCCCCCTCCTCGCGCCTCCTCCGCCTCTCTTCTCCCTCCCCTGTCCGTAGCCATTTTGGCTCAAGTCCGTCGCGTTTCGCTCAGGAGTCGACATTCTGGCGTGGGGGGGGGCGCGGCCCCCGACGGCTCGTGACTCGCTGGGTGCCTGGCCAGGCGCGAGACACTTCCCTTTTCGTTCGCGCAGTCTGTTTACTGCAAGCGGGTTGCCCGCCAGTCTTCAGCATGCTATTTTTTCTCACGCTGCTGCGGAAGGCCCATGGCGCTTTCTCTTGCCGCGTCGAACGGCGGAGTCCCGCCGAACGGACGCAAGCAGATGCGCCACCAGCCCAAGTCGCGGGCGTTTGCAGGTAACAGAGTGCCCGACAGCCCCTCGTTCTCGGCGTCAAAGTCTGTGCTCGAGCCCGACCCCGAGCTCACCGCTGAGCTCGAGATGTTGCGAAATGAGGTGGCATCATTGCGTGGGGGGGAGGCTCTGGCAGTCAAGCCCAGACCGGAGGCCATGGGCGTCGATGCTGGTCAGCCCGGCATCGACGCGGAGGCCAGGAAGCAGCTTGGCGCGGTCACTCAGAAGCCCTGGGCGGTTGCAAATCTCGTAGGGGAAGAATTTGATGAGTTGCGGGGGAAGCTGCGAGCGAAGCAGGCCACCCCCCGTGGTCAGATCGCGCGTGGCAAATCTCTGGGTGCCCGGCTCAGAGAGATGTCTTTCGCCAAGCTCGTGCGCGAGCAGGAGCGCTAAGCGGAAGTTGTCGCGGAGCTCGAGCAGGTGCTGGTCGAGGCGCGCATGGCGTTGGGCGACGCTGCAAAGGCGCTGCAGGCTACAGCGAAGGAGATCGCCGATCTCGAGTCCGAGTGCTGCCAGCTGGTGGCTGGCGCGCCGGTGGCTCCGTCTGGGTCGGGGGCGGCGTCGGGTGATGGCGGGCTCGAGCAGCTCATCGGTGAGGGCCTCTCGATCTGGAAGTGCGGCGAGGTGCTCCAGAGTTTCGGCGGCAGCCCCGAGCTGGCGCAGAGGCTCCGTGCGTGCTTGGCAGAGGCTAAGGCAACGGATGAGCTGCGTCGCGCGCGTCAGAGGCGAGCGACTGAAGATGCCAGGCTTCAGCGGCAGCAGCAGCGGCAGCAGCGGGCGGCCCGGCAGGCGGAGCAGGAGATCGAAGCTGCTTGGGGGGCTGCAACGCACGAGAAGGCGACGAAGTCGGCGGGGCATTGGTCGAACTGAGAGAGAGCTTTTCCTTGGATGCTGACGGTCCCGAGGCGCTGTGCGAGTTCTTGCGTTCGGTCGACCAGGAAGTCCCAGATGATGGAGACGAATCGCGTGAAGCTGCGAAGCGGGTGGGCGCGGTGCTGGCCTCGCTTGCCAAGCGGCTCAAGGTCGCTTGGCTGTTTCAGCCTCTCAACCTCATTTTGTTTTGTGCGCGTGGTCCATTTTGTCAGCATCGTGACGCGTATCGTCGGATTTTTGGATTATACATCAACGTGACACGGAAGTCGAATGTTGGCAAGTGCAAACTACCGTGATGATCGCGCGCGCTTCTCAGATCTGGCAGCGCTACGATCGTTATCGGATCCGCCAGCAGCGCGGCCTTCACTCGGCGCCGCGGTCTCCTCAAAAGGCACATGGTTGCTTAGGATGACGGAAATGGACTTGACCAGGGCGGACATTGCAGTGGCCCCCGGCGTCGTGCTTGTCGCGCCATGGACATCGAGCGACCTCTCCTGGATGGTGACAGAATGTCGATCATGGGCAGACGCTGTGTATTTTGATAACAGAGGCGGCTCTAGCGTGGGCGCTCTTCTTCCTGCCATCGAACGAACGCGCCAGGCGCCAGGGGCGACGTCGTCGGGCGCAAAATAGTTAATGGTGATTCGTCCGCGTCGCAATCTCCGAAGACGCCAACTCGTCCGCTCCGGCGTTGTGCCCCTGGTAAACATTGCGGAGGTAATCGCCTTCAAGTTAAGCTGGGAAGAACATGCGGGTGCTGGGGGGCTGGCGTGGGGGTCGCGTCTCCCTCGTCGCCGGCGGCCGCAAACGGTCGATGTGCACCCGCCAGAGACCGTTCATCAGTTGCAGACAGCGAGAGTGTCCTCTTTGATGTCCAGCAACGCCGATGCTGCTTCCCTCCCCTTCGGTGAATCCAATGGCCCCTGTTGGCCCTGCCGCCGCAACCTGGCGCTCAGCATGTGCCGCGTCGCGGGGGGCAATCGCTTTCTTGCGAATCGTGGCAATCCTGCTGACTGGGATTCCGCAGCGCCGCAATGCTCCATTGCCTCGGTCAGAAATTGCCGTCGCCCTGCCTGCCGCGCCGTTGGGGCCTTTGTCGAGGGGCGCAACTCGGGGCCCACATGTTGATTCAGAAGGTCTTCCCAGGCGCTCAGTCGCTTCCAGCCCGGCGGGTGTCTGACGCGACGAGGTCCCAGTCGAGCGGTGACCGCCGCCCAAGACAAGCCCGTCTCAGTGGCGACCTGTCGGACTTCTTCCCGAAACAAATGTGACGCTGTGCGCCGTTCCATGTCCGGCCACAAATTGAGGACTGACTGGGGCTACTGTCGAGGCAAAGAATGCGGGCATGGGTCTTCTGGGCCAAGCTGGCCGGAGGCACCTGCCGCGAGACGGTGGGGCGCAGTCGACGCAATCTCGGGGGGCAGCGAGTGTCCCGCTAGACGTGCAGTTCCCTGGCCGCTCGTGTCACCTCTGAAAATTTTACCCCAGAGTGTCCCCCAAGTGCTTTTTCAATCGCGTGAGTTTGCGTAGAAGTCCGCTTCAAGTTTGCGCAATCGCTTCAGGCTCGTAGCATAAGTATCCACCCATCTGCCCCGCGTGTCAACGCAAGCGCGACCCGTTCGCGATGGCGCAGCATGCGCTCGCGCCGGGGCGCGGAGGTAGACAGCGGGGAGGTGTCGCTGCAGAAAGCGCCCTGGTCTATGCGGACCCCCCCTCGCGCGGCAGCGTTCGTGTCGCCAATTCCGTTCGGCTTGGCGCCTGATTGCGCGGCCTCCGCGACCTCGGGAACAACCGGGTCGCGATGTCCGTGTCTGCCGCGGCCCCGCGCCCGCAGACAACGCCGTCGGCTGGGGCCCGCCGCGGCCGGGGGGCGCCTCCCAGCCCTCCTCCGCAATGTCCGTGGTGCGAAAGGGCATGCCTGATTGCGACGGCTTCCAATGGGGCTGGCGCCGCTCCATATGCTGAGTGAAGATCTGCGCCGTGATCATCGCTTGCCGGTCTCCCCGCGCCGAGAAGTAGATCTAGCCCGCCCGCGACAGATGCGTTCAACGCTGGTTGCCCTGTTTGCCGATCCACGCGCCGAGCTCCTCCTCGACCCATCTGGGAAGGGCGTCCTCGAGGGCGTTGGCCATGGGGCGCTTTCACTTGAACGGGGCGTCCGTGGGGCCTGTCCTCTCGCAGCTGTTGAGGCAGAGGTGGCCCCCCTACTGGCGCATTGTCGAACAACGCCTCCGCGAGTCCATCGCAGCCTCCTCGGAGAACGGCGGCGGCGAGACGAGGGTGCAGTCCCCGGCGTTTCATGCCGGCAGCTGACGGGCGCGGGTGGTCGACTGCCTGGTGCGCGTCGCCGTGGGGTGCCGTCAGTGGTGAGCGATCGGGCCACTCGAAGCTCTTGGCAAGTAAATGGCGCTGAAGACCCGTGATCTGGCTGCGCGCCGTGCCCGCTTCGAAGCCTGGGGGGGCGCGGGGCCGAAAGTCTGCGGCGCAAGCGCGTCGGCCAAGATGGCGAGACATGCGATGTGCCACCCTGGTAACCCAGATGGCAAAATTATGCCCCAAAGCTGGGCCATGTCGCTCGCTCCCGACTCAGTCGGTAGGGGCTCGCGGATGAATCGCCTCCGAGACTCGACGTGCGCCGTGAGACGGTGCGGGTCGGAGGCGTGCGCGCGCTGCCGGACGAGGCTGCGGGCCGTGCGCCGCGGTCGGGGGCAGCTCGATCGACGTCTCGGCCACGACGGAATTCCACCCTCCAGCGCTGCCCGGTTTGAGGCGTGCACGGGCGGACAATGGTCGCATCGATCGCGAAGCGCTCCGCGGCCTCCCCCCTGTGATCCTCCCACTCCCGAGTCTCCGCCTGCAGCAGCATGTCCGCGATGTGTCTGTCGCCGCTGCGCTGCAGGTGTTTCCGTAGCGTCGACGTGCTTTCTTTGGCGGTTATCTTGCGCCTGCCCGTGGCCGGTCTGCTCTGTTCGCGACCTCGTCGCCCAGGGTGTCCTCGGTCGTCGCGGCGCGCGCGCCGTTGCCGTGGCAGTCGTTCCTGGCATTGGAGCGCGCCGCGCGCGCCGCGGCGCGACGATGAGCTCGTTGCAGATTGTGGAATTGCCGTCGTAACGCTTATCGGTCCGGGCCCGGGTCCATGGCTCTGTTGCGAGCCTCCAGGTCCAGCGACGCCGGCGACGTCGTCGATGCTCTGGCCCGTTGCGTCTGCTTCGCGGCGTGAGGCGCGTCCACGGCTATCCGGGCGGCTTCCTTGGATGCCGAGTCCAACTCCGAAGACATGTTCGCGCCGGCCCCAGAATGGGTAGCTAGATGTGAAAATTGCGTTTCGCATCGATGGCGGTGCCGAATTCAGGCGACAGCGTCGTGGAGTTGACGTCCGGGGGCGACCCGCTTCTGAGTAAGTAAATGCTCTTTGGTCTCAGGCTCCTGCGACGCAGTCCAGTCGGATAGTGGTCGCGATTCTGACCGCGAAGTTGAATGGGGGCTTCGTTCAAGGCGCTAGAGAGCGCGCGCCACTCTTGTGGAAGTGCCGCAAAATCTACCCGAGGTGTGCGCCCGCCCTTCTCGTGGGTCTTGTTGTGGCCAGCTGCCCGTTTGGCGCCGAACGTGTTGCGCAGCTTGAACCTCCAGCGCGTGAGGTCATCGATGGCGATGGTGATGCGGTGCCCCTGGCCCCCCCCCCCACTCCGAATCAGCATTGGCGCCCGTGTCCCTGCAATTTTTGACGCCGTATGTATTCTGTAGCCACCGTGCGCAGTAATGCGTTTAGCACCCATATCCCCGCATTTTCTAATTTGTGTATCAAGTTCCCTGCAAGCGGCACTGTATTCGTCGAGATTGCGGCGTGCATCGGGGAGGTAGACGCTGGCGATGGCAATGCCGGCAGCAATGATGGCAGCACCATGGGGTGACGATGCGAATCGGCGCGTGATGTTGTTTGCAATCTCCCTGGGTAGAGCGATGCCGCAGTAGTCCCCTTCAGCGTGGAAAACATCA